CGAAGGATCTTCATATCTCCGTGACCTCGTCTGGTGTCTGCTCCTTCCTCTGTAAAAGACAGAAAAGGCAAACACCTCTCTGCCTAGAGAGTTCGTCTAATTATTATCTATGTGTGTAAGCATGTTTGCAGTCACCCCTCTGCACTCTAAGTCATTTCCTACAATATATCAGTCTACACAGTCGTGCCGAACGAAGCTTATGACCTTCAGAAGACTGAGTGCCGACTCTCATGAGCACATTTGCAATGTGTGTATGAAAATGATTATAACCGCTTATGTTAGTAAAAGAAATCAAAAAATAAATCCTAACATTTTCCCTCCTTGCACACGTTCTAACATGTGACCAAAAAGCATTTTTCATTTACCCTGCTGTCCCAGTGTGATACTCAGCCTTAAAAAAAAATCATAAAATGATCATAGAAACCATGTTTCATGTTAAACCTGGAATACCCCCCTTTTTGACACACTCCCATGTGTCAATTCACCGGAGCTAGAAATTAAAAGGAAAAGGTCAGTGGCTGCAGAGTTTGTGGATTATGGGAATACTTCACCCACACCAACTGGGAGCACCAGGTAGATTGGTTGGAAGAAAATATGCATTGAGAGCAACCTGGCCGTGGCCCAAGGATGGTGCAAAATTCTTCCAGATGCAAGAGGTAAATTGTGGTCCTCAGTCGGAGACAATGTCAGATGTGAAGCCGTCAAGCTGGACGACATATTGGCCAAGTAACTCTGCTGTTTCAGGAGCTGAGGGCAGTTTAGACAGGGCCACAAAGTGGTACAGCCTTGGAAAAACGGTTCATGATGTACGAATAACTATGTTACCTGATGAGAGCGGTAACTCAGTGACAAGATGTCTTGACGCATGCTCAATCATCCAGGTAAGTAATCTCCAAAAGTTGATTCTGTTCATCTGGATGTAGCGTTTTGTGGGAGAAACGTTCATCACTTACCCAAGTGACTTCTTCAGTCTCAGCCGACTGCAGGTTCCCCAAACAAAAGGAGATTCAATTCATTGGAAGAAAAAAAATGTTTATAATGTACATTCTATTTGCTAAGGACTGCGGATTTATTAGAGCAGTCCTCGTTGGAGCTGGAGCCTGAGTAGAAGTTGTCTGTAAGCCCAGGTTAATAGGCGCAAAAAAGGTTTATTCCACGACTCCCAAGATGTAAAAAAAACAGCAGCGAGCAGGGTTTTGGACACCTAAGCCCACCACGGGAACGGACAGGAGATGACACGATCCAGGAAACGCCGTCGGCTGTGATGTAATGGACCATAACCAACTTGAGAAGCTGCTGAAGAAAAGGTAAAGCAAGCTTTAATTGTGTTGTCCTTGGGTCATTTTTTGTCCCTGAGGACCACAGGTGTATGAAAATCGGGAGGACATTATGAGGGTTAACCAAACGGAGCAGCAAACTGAGATAAACATTTATCTCCATAAAACAAACAGTCCAAAGAGCACTGGATGACATCAGTGGCTTCATCCATCTTTACATCAGGGGTAGGCAACCTTTCTGAGGCGAGTGCCATTTAAAATTTCCTCAGAAGTCAGTGTGCCATATGATTGCATTAGCAATAATTTAATAACGCTCTATATTAGCAGTTACACAATATATAGAACCACTTTATAGAATTATATTTGTTTGCGGATGTTGGCCGCTATCAGCGAATGGTTATCAGCTATTTTGAAACAAAAAAAGACACTTTTTATCCATAAGAAGAACTCCATAACAGCAGATGGACTGTACAACAGAAAATACAAATGCTATTTATGGTCTCCTCACAACAATGATAAGAAAAATAAACTAAGCCAATATGGCATGTCTGTTAATACAGAGACACACATGTTAATGTGATCTTTGGTCTCCCACTCATGAGAGAATGAAGGAGAGAATGAGAGAAGAAGAGGCAGCTGTGCAGCGTAACGACAGAATAAATCCACCTTTGTGTCTTTTTCCATCCTAGACAAACTGCGTCTCCTCTCAGCTCAACACGAAACGCGTAATAATTTCTCTGAATGCAGGACGATTCCTTTTGTACGGGACGGTTGGCAACTCTACTAACTAACCTTATGAACAAAATAAAGTTCAACATCAGTAAATTCATAGCACCACCCAGCTGTAGAGAAACTCTGTCATGCTAGCTAGTACGCAGTACGAGTTATTGTAACTGACTGTAAAAAGTCAGCATAACAAAAATAAACTCCACCTAAATTTGGTTTATATGTGACCCAGAGAGACTGCAGGTCATAACTTCTTACCTGAAGTTCAGTTCACATGACACTCAGACCATCGGCTGCCTCGGGTCTCTCCTCCTCCTGCTTCCCCTGTCCCTCATCCACCTGCTGGCCTCCACCACTTGTTAATATTACTGAATCTGTGGAAGCTCCGCCACATCCACCACCAAACAACTGAGTTATTTTTACACACCGGCCAGCATCTGGCCAATCCACCACCTTTCATTGTTTATACCGTTCCAAAAAAAAAAAAAATCATCGGCCCACCGAGCAAATGCCTGATGGCCAGTCCAGCTATGGTATGAATGTTCAAAAATCTGCACAGAGGAGAACACAATATGCTAAAACTTTACAAACAATCAGGCCTTCCTTCTCCTTAAGTAGTGACCAGCCGATTACAGGATTACCAACAAGTGAGTTCATCATCACAGGCATGATGGACTAAAAGACAGGATGCAGAGGAATGACCTGTCCCTGTATCAAAAAGTGTGTATTTTTTTTTCTCTCTCATGCATGAGCGCACACACAATGCACGCGACACACACAAAGGATAGAAGATGGGCAGTGGAGAGAGAAATGGGGAGCCAGCACAGGAGGACTGGAGGACCATGACAGTCATATGGCTTAACAAACAAAAAAAAAACATTCCTCTTAAAATGGTCAGAGATAAGAACTGGACTAAAATGAATGAGAAAGCAGCCAATGTCTAAAGAAAGAGTTTGACAGATCTTAAGGAAGCCTGGAAAACTATTGCATAAGAACAGTTGACAAAGTCAAAATATGAAGAGATGAGTGGTGGCTCAAGACTTTTGCTCAGTACTGACACTTTTAATTAGCAATACTGAACTTCAGTTAACTCCTGTTTTGTGATTGTTTAACTTTTGTCTTCAGGCCAGGAGGGAAGAGCCGGGATGGCTGCTGTTACTTTGATGGATGGACTGAAGTTTGACTCCACGGTTGTTTTTAAACATGTCGAGGACTTCCTGCCGTCCTACGCCAGGCCACGCTTTCTGAGGATTCAAGTATGTTTACTCCAGTTATTTTACACTTTTTTGCATTTGTGGTTAAGCCTCTTTGTTGCTTGCATGATTTATTTTATCCACTAATAATTGGTTGTACTGTGATTTATTACAGAGGTCACTGGACATTACAGGCACGTTCAAGCTAATAAAGACGAAAGCAGTGGAGCAGGGCTTCAACCCAAATGAAATAACAGACCCACTCTACTTTCTGAATGAAAAAGAGAGGAATTATACTCCACTCACGCCAGATGTATTTGATTCAATTGTAGCAGGAAATATCAAAATATAAAGTGATTTTACTTTTTAAAGGAAAGAAAATCACCTCTGTAAGAAAATCATTGAGATGACAGCGTGGCACTTCTGGCTGCACATTTTGTTGATAAGGTGTTTGAAATTATATCTTTGCCTTCATAATTTGATTTTAGCTGTGATTCTATGCACACATCCTTAATGATTTAGCCTTCTACGGATGTACTGAGCTGTGAGTTCACTCAGTGAATTGTTTCAGTTAAGTAAACGCATTGCTCTGCACCTTCTTCCTTCAATGCATTCTGGTCCGTCCATGTTATATATATTTTTAATTAAAGACCTACTGATATTGTATGTCTCTTTCACTGCCTTATTTGTAGTTATCATTGGACATTGTAGTTTGTAGACTATGTATGCACTTTGTGTGCACAATATATTTGCAATAATACTAATAATAATAATATTAATATGGGCAAGCGAAGGAACTGATCATCTATATGATAAATAGTGAGTAACCGGGCTTTAGTGATGTCTTTTTGTACTAAAGGGCTCAAAGTAAATATCCCCATACCTTTGGATCACCGTCAGTAGCCTGAACTGTTGATGCACGATTTCATGTTGTTTACGCCAAAGTCAGAGTATTTTCAATTCAATTTTATTTATGCAGCACCAAATCAAAACAACAGTCACCTCAAGTCCTTTATATTGTAAGGTAGACCGTACAATAATACATACAGAGGAAAACTCAACAATAATACGACTTTGGCGACACCGGAAAGGACAAACTCCCTTTTAACAGGAAGAAACTTCCAGCAGAACCAGGCTCAGGGAGAGGCAGCCATGCTGTGATGGGCTGGGGTGAGAGGAGGAGGAGGACAGGATAAAAAACGTACAGTGGAAGAGAGACAGAGATTAATAACAAGTATCATTCAGTGCAGAGAGGTCTATTAACCCATAGTGAGTGAGAAAGGTGATTAAAGAAGAAATACTCAGTCCATCATGGGAGTCCCCCAGCAGTCTACACCTATTGCAGCATAACTAATGGAGGACTCAGGGTCACCTGATCCAGCCCTAACTATATGCTTCAGCAATAAGGAAAGTTTTAAGCCTAATCTTAAAGTAACGTGTGTTTTGGGATAAGTTGTAGGAATCTTCTACATTGAGGCAGACTGAAAACAGTCAAGAGAGGCAACATCGTCTTAAATGGGACATATGGTCATGTGAAAAAGAACACATCCATAGGACCCTATACAGTCGTTTGACTTGGCAGCCAGGTGCTGCTGAGCAGTAAATTACCTGCTTCCCGGTTCTGGGACGACTACAGAAAATATGCCACAGTCATACAGTACATAGGTGAATTATCCGTTATCTCTTCTTTTTCTCTTCAAACAGAAACTCAGTAATAAAATCCACAAAGTCAGACTTGCAGTAGGCAACGGGATCAGAGCAGATGTTTGGAGGACTTTGTGAGACGATTTGGAGAAATTCAAATCAGTGAATTTTATGCATCAACCGAGGGAAAATTTGCTCTGTTGATGCATAGCACTCTGAAATATAGCAGCAAAATGGGAGATCATGGGCGAGACAGGTAAAGATCCATGTTTCAGCTTACACTGTGAAGTATGAAGCAGTGTGTTAGCTTTTCTTTTGAATTTGTAGATGTTTTTTCCATATGCTGTGATCAAAGACAAAGGAGAGCATTTGAGGGATTCATATGGTTCTTCATAGAGGTTGAGAAAGGTGTGTTACTTCCAGGAAGTTATAATGCAAAATATCTTTTTTCTTCTCTTTTCTTCTCAAGTTCTCACCCATGCATCTTTTCAAATGCTATAAACATTTTATATGCCTTAATCCAACCTACACAGTTCCTTTTCTCAGCCACAGTGTACCTCACCATGCACAAAATGAAAGTTTAAAAGACTCAGAAATGCAATGTCTCTACAGCATGTATCATGCATCTTGCCTTTAAAAATATAACAACCCCAAATATGACTTCTCCTGTACTTTGATCAGGTGAACCTGGACTTCTGGTGACTGAAATAACAGCCAAAGCTCCATTCACTGGTTATGTGAGAGACATGAAGCAAACTGAGAAAAAGAAGCTGCACAACGTCTTCAAGAAAGGTGATCTGTACTTCAACACTGGCGACCTGCTGCGCATCGATGAGGATAATTTCATGTACTTCCACGATCGTGTTGACGACACATTCAGGTGAGCGCATGTTTTGAAATAATGCTTAAAAACGTGAGCTTACACAGAGCACTGAAAACAAAAAATGTCAACAAATGGAAAGGAGAGAACATAGCTACAGCTGAGGTGGCCGACATCCTTGTGCTGACTGACTGCGTTAAAGAAGCCACTGTTCATGGAGTCAAAGTGCCAGGTACATGTTGCTTTGTTGCTGCGCTTGCACCAAAACCAAGAAACATATGTTCAAATCAAAGTACACTGCACTTAGTTTGATTACTGAATCAATGATCAAACTGTTTCACAATGTTTTCCAGCATTTCTTGGCAAATGTAAAAACACATTCTCAATAGATGGGTAACTTTTAGCTCCAAGATGGTATTAACAAACCTCACCAAACTTTGAATCTTTTATATATTGGTGCATTTATTAAAAATATTTGCTTTACACCAAATATCACTACAGAAAATAATTGGACTCTTCCTCTACATTCACTTCTTTTGTTCTAATCTAGAAATTTTCAGACATTCTAAAAATTTCAATGAGAGGATTATGAAATGTAGTGATCGATCATAAAACCTGCCCTATTTTCTCAGTGGTGTTTGCACTTTGTAGGTCAGTTGAAGTCGTGCTGCGGTCATGAACTTTCACTGATGGATTCGACTTTAGAAGTACGCAAGTTTTATTAACTTTAGACTTCGTGACACTAGAGTGCAGCAGGGTTATCCTTCTTTGTCAGTCAGAGGATTGTACCCTATATTTCAGTATAGCTTATCTGAAGCAGTGATCACAGGGGGCAAAGGGTGTACAGGCAAAGAGTTTAAAGCATACCATGATGACTGAATGCAACATTGTGACATTGAAGATAAAAGCTGACAGTGACAATAAATGAGACATCTGAAAGCACCGTAATTTTTAACGGAGTTAAAATGCTTTTGGTCCAAACTCACTTTATTTTAAATTTAATGCTGCTATAGATTATGACAAACCCCCTTGCTTGTTTCTGGCTATTCAAGAAAACTGCACCATCTACCTCATTTCCATTTGTCATGGGTCTGTGCTGGCAGACCATGTGGAGAGAGGAGGTGGACCCAAATGCAGACACTTGTACCAAATCTATGATTTAACAAAGAGCGAGCCGTTTATTGATGGCTGAATCCGGTCTTTAAGTCTGACATCATTGGCCGTGCTTGGGCCCAAACTCCTCTTCAGGTCCCAAAGTCAAACGAACACTGCAGTATCACTGGGAGTTAAAAACTGTCTAAATCCTTTCATCTGTAATAAAATGATCAGCGTTGCTGCTCTACCAGGTGTAACAATTAAGTTTAACATCCAGGCATCCACGAAAACCAAATTTATGAAATTTAACGGAGTCAGAAGTTAGCAGGGAGTTAGCTTGCTAGTTTCTGTGTGATTCTTACTCTGAATCTGAATAAGTATGCAGGACCACTGAGTGCCGTAAGACCAACTCTTTACTCACTGTATTACTGCCTCCTGGCATGCATTGCCAGTGCGTAACACGTAATTACACAATCGAACAATAAACACATACTGCCCATACAACAAATGTACCAGGGACAATTATGAATACACCACATCTCCCCTTTTAAACAAAAACAGAATATTTCTTTTCTCAGGACAGAACCTTCGAGTGGACTACCTTTTGATTATTTTTTCTTTTTCAAAGCCAAACAAAAACATCTGGCAAACAAACTGCATCACATTTTTAACCTTTTGTTTTTATTTCCTTTTTCATTTCTCTCTTCTTCTTTTTTGACAACTCTTTTTGATTTGTTTTACTCTGCTCTACAAAACCATTGTAACACAGTTATATAACAACAACCTTTTTTTTCTCTTATAGATCTAACTTTTTAGCTTTAACTATTGCCCTCCCTGACTTGGTTCAGACAACATCAGCGTTAACAGGTGTAGCAGGGATTACACTGGGTGTTTGTGGTTTCTGCAACACAGGCACATTATCAGGTTCGTGCACTGGTGAACTTAAAGGAATCAAATGCATGTGATTACGCCTCACAGTCCCTTGTGGTAACTCCACTGTGTATGATCGTGGTATAGAGTGATTTTAGATAACAGTGCCTGGAGTTTTGACATCGGCACCCAAACTTGCTCTCCAGGGGACAGGCTGCATAAAGGTTTTGCACGGTGGCGCCTGTTAGACACTGCCATGTCCATCATCCTCTTCTCCCTTTCCTTTTGAGCAAGCAGTGCGCCGTCCGGCAGTGTACGCTCCAGCTGCGATGGAAGTGTTGGCCGTGTGGTTCGCAGACGTCTGCCCATTAAAAGCTCAGTCAGCTGTATCCGGCCTGGAGTGGTGCAGCTCTATAGGCAAGAAGAGCTAGATAAGGATCAGCTGCTTTTTTCAGAAGATTTTTTACAGTCTGTACAGCACGTTCTGCTTCTGAGCACCATCTCAGAGATTTGTTGACTCAGCCCGGGCCACCACACTGTTTGGCGTGCACAAGCTTTACATTTTACAACACCTTGATGTCCTTCGTGTAGTTTTTCCAGCACCTTGTTTCTCATCGCTGAAGGAATGACAAGCCGTGTATCTTTTAGCAAAAGGCCGTCTTGTGAGCGTGGCTCGGTCAGGCCAGTAATTTCTCAGTAAAGGCTCTTGTTTTGCATGTTCTGGCCAGCCTTGGGTGCACATGTCCATGACGCGAGCACAAACACTGTCGCTTTTCAGTTGTTCCTTCAGTGTTTGCATATATGAGGAACTGACAGGCATGTTTGTTACAATACTGTCCACTTATACAGGGAGTGCAGAATTATTAGGCAAATGAGTATTTTGTCCACATCATCCTCTTCATACATGTTGTCTTACTCCCAGCTGTATAGGCTCGAAAGCCTACTACCAATTAAGCATATTAGGTGATGTGCATCTCTGTAATGAGAAGGGGTGTGGTCTAATGACATCAACACCCTATATCAGGTGTGCATAATTATTAGGCAACATCCTTTCCTTTGGTAAAATGGGTCAAAAGAAGGACTTGACAGGCTCAGAAAAGTCAAAAATAGTGAGATATCTTGCAAAGGGATGCAGCAGTCTCAAAATTGCAAAGCTTCTGAAGCGTGATCATCGAACAATCAAGCGTTTCATTCAAAATAGTCAACAGGGTCGCAAGAAGCGTGTGGAAAAACCAAGGCGCAAAATAACTGCCCATGAACTGAGAAAAGTCAAGCGTGCAGCTGCCAAGATGCCACTTGCCACCAGTTTGGCCATATTTCAGAGCTGCAACATCACTGGAGTGCCCAAAAGCACAAGGTGTGCAATACTCAGAGACATGGCCAAGGTAAGAAAGGCTGAAAGACGACCACCACTGAACAAGACACACAAGCTGAAACGTCAAGACTGGGCCAAGAAATATCTCAAGACTGGTTTTTCTAAGGTTTTATGGACTGATGAAATGAGAGTGAGTCTTGATGGGCCAGATGGATGGGCCCGTGGCTGGATTGGTAAAGGGCAGAGAGCTCCAGTCCGACTCAGACGCCAGCAAGGTGGAGGTGGAGTACTGGTTTGGGCTGGTATCATCAAAGATGAGCTTGTGGGGCCTTTTCGGGTTGAGGATGGAGTCAAGCTCAACTCCCAGTCCTACTGCCAGTTTCTGGAAGACACCTTCTTCAAGCAGTGGTACAGGAAGAAGTCTGCATCCTTCAAGAAAAACATGATTTTCATGCAGGACAATGCTCCATCACACACGTCCAAGTACTCCACAGCGTGGCTGGCAAGAAAGGGTATAAAAGAAGAAAAACTAATGACATGGCCACCTTGTTCACCTGATCTGAACCCCATTGAGAACCTGTGGTCCATCATCAAATGTGAGATTTACAAGGAGGGAAAACAGTACACCTCTCTGAACAGTGTCTGGGAGGCTGTGGTTGCTGCTGCACGCAATGTTGATGGTGAACAGATCAAAACACTGACAGAATCCATGGATGGCAGGCTTTTGAGTGTCCTTGCAAAGAAAGGTGGCTATATTGGTCGCTGTTTTGTTTTTGAATGTCAGAAATGTATATTTGTGAATGTGGAGATGTTATATTGGTTTCACTGGTAAAAATAAATAATTGAAATGGGTATATATTTGTTTTTTGTTAAGTTGCCTAATAATTATGCACAGTAATAGTCACCTGCACACACAGATATCCCCCTAAAACAGCTAAAACTAAAAACAAACTAAAAACTACTTCCAAAAACATTCAGCTTTGATATTAATGAGTTTTTTGGGTTCATTGAGAACATGGTTGTTGTTCAATAATAACATTATTCCTCAAAAATACAACTTGCCTAATAATTCTGCACTCCCTGTATGTCTGTGCTTTCCATTAGCTCTTTGTCTGACATGTTCACTGTTTTTTTCAGAGGCGAGCGGGACAAAGTATCTGCTGTCCAGAGCGATTTCCCTGGGGCGTACTGCACATTGTACGAGTAACGCATGAGTCTCATTCTGAATCGCTAGATCCTGGGTGGCAAGAGATCCAGAGCTTGTCCTCCCAGTAAGGAAACGAGAGGTTTGTGGTCCGTTTCGAGACAAAAATGTTTACCAATCAGGAAATCACGAAATCGCTCAAACGCCCATGTAGACTAGACGCCAGTGCCTCTTTTTCTACTTGTGCCTATCGTGGTTCAGTAGGAGAAAGGGACCTCGATGCATACGCCACTGGTCGCCATCCTTCTTCCCACAGCTGCAAAAGAACACCTGCGAGACCATAGGATGAACCATCTGCTGATACTTTAATGTCTCTGTTGGGGTCATACATTGCGAGCACTGGGGGTGAGGTCAGGGCATCTCTTAATGTTTTGAAAGCTCTCGCTTGGTCAGTTCCCCCAGTACCATGCATTCTTTGTGGAAAGAAGATCTCGCAGGGCTTTGTCTTTTTCAGCTAAATGGGGGATGAACTTGCCCACTTGATTCACCATGCCCAGAAAACTGCGCAACTCTGACACATTAGTTGGCTCCGTCATTTTTGTAATCATAATACAAAAGGGACATGAAATTTAAAATGCTAGGTCAAAAAACCCAGCCCATGACATCATGCTTTGTCCTGTAGTGTGTTTGTCATGTTTCATATGTTTTGTCATTGTTTAACTTTTGTCTTCAGGTCAGGAGGGAAGAGCCGGGATGCAAATTATTGAGATGACAGCGTTGCACTTCTGGCTGCACATTTTAATGACAAGGTGTTTTAAATGATCTTTGCCTTCATAATAATTTTATTAAAGCTGTGATTTCATACACACACCCTCCATATCCATATCTATATCCATAGAGATCGTCTGTAATCCCTGGGCAACAGCAGCAAGTTGTGAACAGAAGTTAAGCTTCCAATAAATTGTGGATAACATAAACCCAACATATAAACTGTTTTGTTTTGTATCTGATTTTTCTTCTTCTTCTTTTTTTTGCTGCAGAGATATTGAAACAGGTGCAAAGTTGTTTGCAACTTGTGAATTTTGACTCGAGGGTGAGTCATCTCAAGAGTAACAAATCTTTTGATGCATGTTTAAAGATTTGTTTGAACATCTATATGTCATGGTCCTGAGTCTGCCGACTCAGTGTTTTGTGTCTCTTTATGCTTTTGTTTATTCCGAGTATGTATTCTGTTATGATTTGCCATTTGTTAGGTTTCTGTTCTGTGCTTGCCCTGGTCCCACGTCTGTGTTCTGTCTGTCTATGGTGTCACACTGTCTGTTTGTGAATCTGTCTGTTTAGTTCAGTGTCTTATCTGGTTCTCTGTGTCTGAGTTTCCTGTTTTATTCTGAAGGTCCCCGTCTCATGTGAGTGTGTTCAGTTTACGTTTCCCCTGTCCCGCCAGCTCCGACTTCTCCCAGGTGTGTTGCCCTCCTGTTTCTCATCCCCTGATTACTGCTGTGTGTATTTAAGCCCTGTGTGTTCTCCTGCCTGCTGCCGGTTCGTCTGTGTTCCACGGTGTTTCGTTCCTCTCACGGCGCCTCTCTGCCCCGCACCTCGTTTCGTGTGTTTGTTATTTAGTTTTCCCAGTTTAGGTTTCTTTAGTTACTTGTCATCCCTCACTGCCTGTTTGCCATTACACCACCTTGTAAATAAATGTCACTCGAATCATCAGTCATTGCCTGCATTTTGGGACCTCCTTTCCCCCAACACCACACGGCTCGCCTCGGCAGCCGTGACACTATAAATCTGACCATACACACACACATACACACACATACACACAGTAATAAACTATACTGCTAAAGTAATAGACCACTTAAAAGCTTTTAGACAGAAGCAGATTTACTCAAAACTGACTGAGAGGTCCAAAACTGCACTGAATTTAGCTTTTGAAGTGTTACTCCTGATATGGAATTTAGCCTGCGTTTGTTTACACAAGGCAATAAAGCAGTAAGAAACATACATATTCACTAGAGTTAATCAGGAACCTCCTCTATACATACTTTGTAAATATGTAAACTCCAGCCAGCAGCAGGTTACGAAATCCTCTCTGACATCTTTGAAGCTCAATAATTAACAGCTGTCTGGCTTTTCTGGCACACAACTTCTTGTTACTATTACTAATATTTCCACAACAGATACATGTTAATTGGAATTTATACAGTTGAAACTTAGGACCACTGGGAAAAACATAAACTGGGGATCATAACGTTTAGAATGTTTTGCTGTTAGGAGGGACTGTCAAAGCTGCTGTCCTGTTGGCGCTGCCTCAAGTCATAAAACAGAGGCCTCGACCAGATTTCCTGCAGCTTCTCACATTCAGAGCCAGGAGTAGGCTCTCTGTGCATACTCCTCTTTGTATGCACAAACGTCTCGGTATGAGGAGTCTTCTTAGTAATCTCATTATAAACAGTGAGGTCAGAAACATCGGGGCCTTGACTGCCTAATTCCCCGATGTTGCTGGCTGATGCAGCGGACACAGAAAAGGGTTTCACTTTCCTTCTAGACAGTTATTGTTGATAGTCAGAGTATTTGGTGCTAGTTAAAGGGTTCCTCTGAATTTTTGCCTTGTGCCCCAACAGACTCACCAGTGGCTCTTGGCAAAACTGCAAGTTAAAGGTTAACTTGCACCTGCCCTTCTGTGTGAGCGAACACAGCCCAGCAAAAGCTTAGCTGAGATCCGACAATCTCCAGCCTGTCTTCACGTTCAGGTCATCAGGTGCTACCCTCTCACCGTCTGTTTGGGCTTCATTTTGGTCCACTAGCACAATCTAAAGTGGTCACTCGGTATAAAGCCAGTGAAAGGCCTAAAACACGTGAAAGCAGTATGTTATACTGTAAATCATTGATGCAGCTCATCTGGTTGTTCACTAGCAATACAAAATGCTTTTCAACCTTTGGAATTTCTCAGTGCTCCTCCTCCTGCTCCACATGCCTTTTTATACCTCTGCTTTGTCTTCAGCAGGACAGCTGTGAGACAAACATGTTGGTCTGGACAGTGTGTGCGGCTTTGATTGCATGTGGCGTTTTACTCCGCCATTCTTCCTTCCTCCAGGATGTCCAATTCGTGCTCACTAAAATAAAAGTAAGGCGGTTCATCGAAAAGTGCGTGCAGACTAATTACTCAATCCTGGACCGCTTTTTAGAGCTGGTGAAGACGCAGCCGCACAAGCCTTTCGTTTATTTTAAAGATGAAACGTTCACCTACCGGGACGCAGACGTCCTGAGCAACAAAGTTGCGAGAGCGTTTCTGCAGGCTGGATGCGTAAAAGAAGGAGACACGGTGGCGCTGTTCCTGGGGAACCAGCCGATGTTCCTGTGGCTCTGGTTGGGTTTGGTGAAGATTGGATGTGCTGGAGCTTTGCTCAACTCCAACATCAGATCCAAGTCTCTGCTACACTGCCTCAACTGCAGCGGAGCCACAACTCTGGTAGCAGCTGAAGGTAGTACCTGCATTTCTGTCTGCTTTTCCAAGCAATGGAGACAGTAGAGAGCTCATTTACTCAACATTCAATAACCAGATAAATACATAAATAAATAATCTGACAGGCCTGGAGTTCATCAATTGTATGAAACAATTTTCTAGACTTGCTGGATGCAGTGAAGGAGGTGCTGCCCCATCTTCACGAACAGCAGATCAATGTTTTCATCTTAGCTGACAGATGTGAAGTTACAGGTGTGAAAAGCTTCATTGATAAAATGAATCAGGCTTCCTCTGAGCCTATACCCAAGGAGTTAAGGTCCCATTTAACCATGCAGAGTCCAGCAGCCTACATATACACCTCAGGGACAACGGGTAAACTACTTACTGAGATTCACGATGCATCAGTGAAAGAAACAGAAGATTCGCCACCTGAGCCTCTGGCTTGTCTTTAACAGGTCTCCCTAAAGCAGCTTTGATCACTCAAGGCAGAGTGTGGACCATGTCTTTACTTCTGCCTTCATCAGGAGTGAACTCCAAAGATGTGATTTATGATACCCTCCCTCTTTATCACAGCACCGGCTTCCTTGTCTTCACTGGGGCCATTGAGAGGGGTATGAACTCTTTGGATATATAATATTGTGTTTTTTAGATATATGATTGGTGTATGACTTTATTTTATTTATTTTTTTAACCAATGTAATATAAAAACCATAGTTACATATATGTAACTATATGTTACATATTTGTTGAAAAACCCAAAATTTTGACTACTTCCACTGCTACTCTTTAAAGTGTGCTGTTGTCATCTATTGTTGTGTGCAGGTATTCCTGTTGTTCTGAGGAGTAAGTTTTCTGCTTCCCAGTTCTGGGACGACTGCAGAAAATATAATGTCACCGTCATACAGTACATAGGTGAAATTATGCGTTATCTCTGCAACACTCCACAGGTTTGTGCCAACACAGCACCAACATTAATACTACTGTCTCACACAGAAAGCTTTAGAAAACTAACAAACGCATGCTCTTCTTTTCTCTTCAAACAGAAACTCACTGATAAAAACCACAAAGTCAGACTTGCAGTAGGCAACGGGATCAGAGCAGATGTTTGGAGGGACTTTGTGAGACGATTTGGGGAAATTCAAATCAGAGAATTTTACGGAGCAACTGAGGGAAACTTTGCTCTGTTGAATTATAGCAGCAAGATGGGAGCTCTTGGGCGACACACCTTCCTGCACAAGGTAAAAGTCCATGTTTCAGCTCACATTAAGAAGTAAAACCTGTCACTCATGAAGCAGTGTTTTAGCTTTTTTTTTTTTAAACTTACAGATGTTTTTTCCATATGCTGTGATCAAATATGACATAGACAAAGAAGAACCTTTGAGGGATTCTTCTGGTTTTTGCATGGAGGTTCAGAGAGGTGTGTTACTTGCAGGATGCTTACAAAACCAAAGATTCTTTGTTTCCTGTCCTTTTATTTATATTTCTAAAGTTCTCACCCATGCATCTTTAAAAATAAGTATTTATTGAAATCTCATTAATATTGACTTTAAATATAACAACCCCAAATATGACTTCTCCTGTACTTTGATCAGGTGAACCTGGACTTCTGGTGACTAAAATAACATCCAAAGCTCCATTCATTGGTTATGTGAGAGACATGAAGCAAACTGAGAAAAAGAAGCTGCGTAACGTCTTCAAGAAAGGTGATCTGTACTTCAACACTGGCGACCTGCTGCGCATCGATGAGGATAATTTCATGTACTTCCACGATCGTGTTGGCGACACATTCAGGTGAGCGCATGTTTTGAAATAATGCTTAAAAATGTGAGCTTACACAGAGCACTGAAAAAATACAAAAATTACCAACAGATGGAAAGGAGAGAACGTAGCTACAGCTGAGGTGGCCGACATCCTCGCGCTGGCTGACTGCATTAAAGAAGCTAATGTTTACGGAGTCAAAGTGCCAGGTACATGTTGCTTTGTTGCTGCGCTTGTGCCAAAACCAAGAAACACATGCTACTGAATCAATGATCAAATTGTTTAACAATGATATCCAGCATTTTTTCTTCGCTATGCATAAAAATGAATTCTTTTTAAAACAAAAAGGAGCTCTAAGATGGCATTACCAAACCTCACCAAACTTTGAATCTTTATATATAGCCGTACAAAATATGGGGGGGGGGGGCAATGTTTGCTGCTTGTTGCTCTGTGCTCCATCCAGATGATCCCGCACTACTTCAATAATTTTGTAGTCCAAGATCTGAGGATACAAATTCATGACTGATAGTGATCCATTGTATGTTTTTCTATCCAACTTGTTTTTACTACATTGGCAGTGTGTTTGGGGTCATTGTGAGGCAGAAAAATGAAGCTCTTGTCAATCAAATGCTTTCCAAATACTTCTGCATGGTGGATTAAAATCAGACCATACTATTCTGCATTCATAATTCCATCAATTTCCAAACAATGGCTGAAATGCAGCCCCAAACCAGCCTCCATTGTGTCTGTAAACACTCAATGTTGTGCTTCTCTCCTCACCTCCTTCGTATATGTTCATGATGGCATGAACCAGAAATTTCATATGTAGATTCATCCCTCCATAACACCTGTCACCACCGATTTTTAGTCTAGTTCTTGTATAATGTGGCATACCTTAGCCTTTTCTCCCTGTTTCACATCCTTTGAATGGCTTCTTGACAGCCACTCTTCTATTGAGATTTCTGATGAGGCTTCTATGAACAGTAGATGGATCAACTTTCCTATTTCTTAAGGACATAACTTTCAGATGTTGTTCATCTGCTGTAGGTTTCTTAGCCCTGTCCTTTTCTTTTGTCCTCCACTTGTCCAGCTTCCTGAGATTTTTTTGACACACTATTGTGAGATTAGCAATACTGAACTTCAGTTAACTCCTGTTTTGTGACTGTTTAACTTTTGTCTCCAGGCCAGGAGGGAAGAGCCGGGATGGCTGCTGTTACTTTGAGAGATGGACTGAAGTTTGACTCCACGGCTGTTTTTAAACATGTCGAGGACTTCCTGCCGTCCTACGCCAGGCCACGCTTTCTGAGGATTCAAGTATGTTTACTGCAGTTATTTTACACTTTTACAAATGCATTTGTGGGTAAGCCTCTTTGTTGCCATAGTGATTTATTTAGCCCACTAATGATTGGTTGTACTGTGATTTATTACAGAGGTCACTGGACATTACAGGCACGTTCAAGCTAATAAAGACGAAAGTAGTGGAGCAGGGCTTCAACCCAAATGAAATAACAGACCCACTCTACTTTCTGAATGAAAAAGAGAAGAACTATACTCCACTCACGCCAGATGTATTTGATTCAATTATAGCAGGAGACGTCAAAATATAAAGTGATTTTACTTTTGAAGAAAAAAATCCACCTTTTCACACACAAGCGAATCATTTGTTGTGTCACTTCTGGTTACACATTTTAATGACAAGGTGTAAAGCATAAATTTATTTTTTGTTCTTTCATGCACACCCCCCATGTTTGAGTTTGATGTACCAATCTGTGAGTGTGGTGATGGGTTCACTAGTTTATTAAATGGATTGCTGTACACCTCCTTCCTGCATTGCATTCTGGTCCGTGTAGGCTTTTGGCAGTGTGGGAGCAAACATATCTTTCTGTCACACATTCTGCTCTCTTTAATATTCATTTAAAACCTCCACACCCAAAGTTTATGCTTTTGTAAGTGGATTTATTCAGTGGCGTAATTCAGCTCATACAGCTGGTTTCATGCAGAATGTATACCCTGAATAACTTTATCTAGTCTTATGTCCCAGAAGCTCACACCAGCTCCCAGCGTAGGTGCTCTTTTTTCACCCTCTGGTTGAGTGATTCGTAGTGTTCAGGAGGCCTGGATTAAAGCCATGGAGCTCAGGCAGGGGAGAGCAAGCTCATTAACCACAGGGTCACTGATGTTAAAAAGGGAATCATAAATGGGGGAATAAAAAATGTTTCTTTCAGTGGTATAATATATTATGCTATTTCTGCCACTGTCCACAAGTCCATCCATCACTTTTGTCCAGTGACTTGCTGTCGATGGATTACCACGGCCCTCGAGAACATGCACAGAAAGATATTTTGTCAACATACAGCAAACTGTAGTGCAGCATTTTACAGGGATGCACGCACATTTTAGGCAGCATTAAACCACAATTGTTCTGAATCTGGCTCAAATTTGAGTGTCAGGATTTAAAGCATCTCCTTTTTCCATCTCACATATCAGATAAGCTGTAAGACACCCAGGAAATGCATTAAATGTATAACACTTTAAATTCATTATATTATTAATTCCTTTCTGATGCCACCCATCAGTTAAATGTCAGGTTACTCAAGAGTTGGTTTGCTGCTGGTAATAACTCTCAACTCCTTGAAGAAACGTAACCATGGCATTTGAACATGTTTATATCAAATCTGTCTTTTCTTTCTTTTTTTAAAAAATATTAGCGATCTGATCACATTTTATAATTAAATGAAAAGTGCCGACGGATGTGCTGTTGTGCTTTGCCTCTCTCTTGCGCTATATTTTTGTGGAGGGGGAAGGGGGGGTGGCGGATCTCTAGTTTTTCCAGGTGAATACTTTAAAATCTCCACACAAATTTTTTATTGGATAAAGATTATTTTTAATTTTTTATTTATTTGATCCAAATAAGTTACTTCATTGTTTGGAGCTACAGGAGGAGCTGACGTCATTTTAATATTCCATTTTTTAAATATGCACTTACACTCACTCACACGATGCATAATTACAACCATGCATCCATAGTACACTCACACAGAAATGTAGACATGACAAAAGCATAAAAATAATTATCTTAGATCTGAGAGCCAAAGCTGGAGGCGAATGCGGGAGACATTTTCACAGGTTAAGAAATGGATCAATGAACTTCCCAAACTCTAAGAAAGCTGACTGTGAGCACACAATATCCTTATATCCTTATAAAAAGCAGCCAATGCCGAACACCCCCACCCCACCAAAACATGGATTTTAGCTCTACTGGTGATTATAAATTGGCCATAGGTATGTAAGGTTGTGTCCTTATGTCTTAGCCATGTTATAGAATGATGAGAGGTGGGATAGGCTCCAGCCTGAATATACAATATATATTTATAAAGTTAATGTGAAAGAACAGATTTCTCTGTTAAGTGTCACAATGTAGAGAGTTAATGCACAAGCTGTGAAAGATTTCCTCAACCTGTGTGTGTGACAGCGAAGCTGAGCCGGTCTGTTGGAGAAAGTCCTGCACTAACTGTCCAGTAAGTGGTGCAGAAGGTAATCAGGATTATCTGTGATAGATAACAGTTTCTTTAGTGACCTCCTTTCCACAACAAATGTGTCCAGGTTGCAAAAACACACAATAGCTGAAATGCGTGTAGAAAGATTTGTTTGTTTGTTTTTTTGTTTGTAGAATTCATATTTGGACTTTTTTTAAACTATAACTTTTGCCAAATTATCCATTTTTTTTCTGGAAATGATTTCAGAAGTTGTTAGGATGTTTAATTCCATTACATTTCAGTTATCTTATAATATAAGCCAAATCACAGTATCAGTTAGCTCAAGCAACTTTATATTTTTGGTAAGGACACTAGAACGAGGGGAGAAAACCCCAGCAGTCAGGTGATCCCTATGTGCAAGCACTTGGCAACAGCAGGAAGGGAACACCCTGTTACAACAGGAAGAAACCTCCAGAAGAGCCAGGATCAGGGAGGGCAGCCATCTGCCATGACCGGTTGGAGGATTTAAAATCCTATTAGATGACGAGTTGTCCTAAAGAAAATGCTGATCTTCTTGCACAACTTGTGATCTTTCAGAAAGCTTTCTATTTCTATACTGTCACTGTCAGGGGGCTGAGTCTGTGACCCAGCATTTTGAGTTATTTTGTATTTTTTGATTACTTATGAGTTAATGTTGAGTCCTGGGGTTATTATTAGTTCATCTTAGTTGAAGTTTAGTCTGGTTTATGTTATCGTCCATGTCTCCTTGTTTTCTGTTTATCACGTATTATCTCCTCGTCTATGTAGGTTCCCTTGTGTCTCTCTCCTCTGTCCCTCTGCCTCTCTCGTTCCCTCTCTCTGTCTCTTGTCTCTCCATGTTTCCTGTTTTTTTTAGATTTTATTTATGTTCACCGTGTTTAATTTTGCTTCCCTGTGGCGTCACGTTCATTTGTGTCAGCTGTGTTTCTCGAGGTGTTTCCACTTCCCTCATTACCCTTCTGTGTATTTAAGTCCTCTGTCTCCCTCTGTTTAGTGTCAGATTGTCTGCATTGCTCCATGTTCATGTTCACGCCTTTGTCTTCTCTCTGCCTCAAATCTTGTTTTTTTCATGTTCCTGCTCAGATTCATGTTCATGTTCTTATGTCATAGTTAGTCTTAGCTGTTTCCAGTTTAGTTTCTAGTTTAGTTTTGCCCCAGTTCACCTTGCCTTTGTTTTGTGTTTTTTCCCTATCAGCCAAATAAATGGCTCCCTTTTTGTTATACCTTAGTTTTCTCTCTCCCTTGTCTGCTCTGGGTCCACTCCGCAAACACACCGACCATCCCGACCGTGACAGTTACTTACTAATCTTTATTTGTAATTGACTATTTTGTTTTAAAATCTTTGTTATGGTACAAATTTAACTGATCTTAAGAATCAATTTTTTTTTCTTTAGACAGAGTTTTGAGGAGTTTCCCTTTGCTTTCTTCTTCGTTCTACTCTCATCTGTATTAATGATAACTGGTTCAAGAGGAGTAAAGATCAAACCACAGCAATGCCTTGTACTGTGGTGGCCTTGGTGAACTCATCTAAGCTGGGGATAAGTAAGCGTAAGATGGTTGTTGGCTGCTCTGTGAGTTCAACAGGAGGACAAGGAGCTGAAACCATAACAGAGAGTGCTTCCTTTGTGGGTCAGGGGTCCTTCTCCAGATTAGGTATTATAATCACATTTTCTCTGGTCTGAACCTCAGTGAAGCATGAGCTTTCAGCAGGGGTGATGCAGAAGCTGTACTGTGTCAAAGTTATTTACTTACAGGCTGAAACATGAGGCAAAACGTGTTTCACTGTCACATCAACATTCTAATGAGCGGCACTGGTGCAAAGTTTGCACTGTTGCCTGGCACGTCTCTGTCAGAGTGGAAAGGACTGTGCCTG